GAATTACTGGTCACGCTAACTTGAGTCTAGAGCTCCGAAGATGTTGTTATGCAATGACATTTTAAGAAGTTTAAGCTGCGAGTGCCAGTCTTTGGCGACGTAATTTTTCGATGAAGCAACGGTTGCCGGTAGAGAGAAGTGCATGAACTGTAGGGGGCGAGCAGGTCCATGGATAGCTTTGGTCTGCAGCTGTTGTTGCTGCTTTCCTTGTTTCGTCTTTGGGAAGAGTATTTGGTGGTGATGTTGAGAACGACGATGACAGTTACAAAGAAGATGATAAGAGTAAAGGCTCAAAACGATCAACCATGCCACCAGTCCACATTATGAGTTTTATAGAAGATTGTTTAATGAAGACAGAGAGTGTGTGTTAAATCTTAAAGATGATGAAGAAGAGAGTTCAGGGAGTTCCAGGTTCTAGAACGAGTAAACAACATGGCGAATTTTTTGCATGAGTGCCACCAGGTGCACCGGTAGGGAAACAAATTACAATCGGTGGCAGGGGGCAGAATCACCATGAGTAACGACATGGGTTGGGAGAGCCAATGAGAAAGTTTGGATAAAATGTTGTGCTGTCATTGCTTTGAGAATTTGGGGGAGAGATAATGCGAATGAAAACGTGGGTGGGGAGGACAATGCAAGTGGAGGATGCTGGAGTAGATAAATGAAAGAATGCGTAAGCGACTCATTTTCAAAAGGAGAAAAGATAACTGCCATGTGGGCGCAGTAGTAGGTGCAGTTAAAAGGGCTGTTATATGTGTCATTTACCAAGTGTGCCAAGCGTCATCTTCTTTTTGGATGGTGGAGAAAGGGATTTTAGAGGGACTGGTTTTCCTTTTGTTGGCGTTTGGAGAGGGGCAGCGACTCGAATAAGGCATGTTTCTGGACGCGATCCTACTCGGCGCTGCAATTCGACTTCATGCTGCCAAGTCATCCGAGTGGAGTGGAATGGATTTTGGGGTAGGCTTTGAGTACTTGTTTTGGGGTCACTAAAAGACGAGTGGGGGAGACTGGATTCTTAATGTGTTTGGAAAGAATGTAATTCACGTTTAATAGGGTGGATATTTTGGGCAGATGAATCATAGCAAGGTGTGGAAAAAGTGGTTGTTTTTATTCTTTGGTAGTGTTTTTTGTTTGGAATCTGCTTCAAAGCTTGATCCTTTATGGAATTTGGCGAGGTTGAGGTGCTCTAGGTTGGGTTTTGGAGGAAGGTTTGAAAACCTTTGGAAATTCTCAGTTGTTTGGTGGCTTTTGGAGAAGAAAGTGGGATTATAAAAGGAGGACGTTGAAGTAAGTAAAAGAGAGAGGAGAAGAAGAAAAGATGCGAAGAAAATGCAGATAGAAAATGAGAAGCGTGAGTTGTGTTTTGATGCTTCAAGGTATCATATTACACGCAGGATAAATATAATACGCATAAAAAAGATTATGATATGCTGAATAGATATAATATGACATGTGAATAGATAAACCAATGAAGAAAAGTAAAGAAAAAATTTTCTTATCATGATGGAATTTCAGATTAACAATGTTAGTCGAAAGGAGTTCGTGTCTCCTCTCATATTGCAAGTCGTCGTTGGAATAACGATTGTCAGAGGCCCCACGGTGGGCGCCAAACTGTAGATGCAAAAATTCTACTGTCATAAAAATAGGGTCTGATCCCGTGAGGTTGAGGCCATTGACAATCCGCTAGACCTGCACACATGAAAGGACAAGCGTGAAGCTTACGAAAAACACCGAGGTGGTGTTTGCCGTAGGCACTTCGACGCTCAAGTCAGGAAGACTAAAAGAGATTATTTGATAAGAATTAAGGAGAATAAGGGTTTGCAGGAGTCTTGTCGGAGGCTAGGACTATGGCGGAGGCGTCGGGTTCTGGGAGCAAGAACTTCAGGAGCAAATAGATGGTTTTAAGTAGTGTAGATTGACTATGGGAGATTTCTCTCTTAATGAGAGGGCAGACCTCTGTTTTTATAATGAACCCAAGGGGTTGGAATCCTAGTAGGACATTAAGTCCTTTTTTGGGAGATAATCCCTATCAGGAAAGAGATATGATTTCTTGACTTTATCAGATTAAGTTTGATAGTTTGAGTAAGATTTGGAATCTTAGTGGGACACTAAGTCTTATTTTGAAAGATAATCCCCATCAGGAAAAAAATATGATTTCTTGATTTTATCAAATTAAGTTTAATAGTTTAAGTAAGATTTGGAATCTTAGTAGAAGAGGAAATAGAATGGGATTCTGATTTCCTATTTATGGACTGTTGCAGGCTAATGGGCTGAAACTCGGTTTAGCTTAACTTATAGGATAGCCCAACTCATAGAGTGGGTAGTTCACAAGGTGATTTTAAGTGTAGGCTCAATCGGGATTGGGCTGAGGCCTTAGACTGTAACATGTTTATTTCGTTATTGGGCCTCGTCAGGCTGAAGACGATTTTTGGCCCTAACAATATCAACAAGAGACCATCATGGACATGGCACTCACACTTCATCAACCATTGCGGGGCACACTGTTAATAATGCTTCTTTTCTTGGTTTTGCAAACGGTGAAGCATCTGGGATGGCAGAAAAAGCTAGACTTGCTGCATACAAAGTTTGTTGGAATGGAGGATATTGTATGGAATCTGACATTTTAGCCGGCTTGAACAAGGCTGTTGAAGATGGAGTTGATCTTATCTCTATTTCATTAGGTTCTGGTCGGTCAGAACCATATTTTCTGGATCCAATCGCAATTTGATCGTTTGGTGCAATGGAAAAAGGAGTTTTTGTTTCAGCTGCTGCAGGAAATTCAGGTTTTCGAGCTGAAACTGTGGATAATGTAGCTCCGTGGATGATAACTGTTGGTGCTAGTACGATTGACAGAAAGTTCCCTGCCGATTTGGTTCTTGAAGATGGAACAACTATCACACTCTTTATAATGGAAAACAATTGCCAAACAAGACGTACTTTCCATTGATCTATGCTGGCAGTGCTTGCATGTATGGGTCATTAGATCCAAAATTGATTCATGGTAAGATTGTGGTGTGTGATCGTGGTGACATTGGATGTGTTGACAAGGGAAATGCTGTGAAAAAGGCTGGCGGGATTGGAGTGATTGTTGCTAATACAGAATCATCAGGTGAAGGTTTAATAGCTGATGCACACTTGTTTCCTGGTTTGGCCATTACTTTATCAGCTTGTGAAAAAGGTTCTCAATTACATAATCTCTGCCAAGAATCCCAGAGCCACCATGGTGTTTAACAAAACTCAATTGGGAGCAAAACCAGCTCCAGTTGTTCCAGTATTTTCATCTCGCGGGCCAAATCCGCAATCAATTTACATTGTTAAAACCTGACGTAATTGCACCAGGAGTTGACATTCTAGCTGCCTGGACGAATGATTCTTCACCAAGTGGTTGTCTTGAAGATACAAGACGCGCTGAATTCAATATAATCTCTGGCACATCGACGTCGTGCCCGCATGTTTCAGGCCTGGCAGCTCTTTTGAAAGCAGCCCATCTCGATTGGTCTCCAGCAATGATCAAATCAGCTTTGATGACTACAGCTTACACTCAGGATGAAGATGGTAATCCTCTGCTAGACGAGAAAGATCTTAATCAGACAAATATTTGGGCGATGGGGCTGGACATGTGGATCCTCAGAAAGCTTTAGAGCCTGGATTGGCTTATGATTTAACAGCTGAAGATTACATAGATTTTCTCTGTGCATCAAATTACAGCCTAGATCATATCCAGATAATTACCAGGAGGTCAGTGAACTGTAGTTCAAGCAAGACAAAGAACCCATGGGACCTAAATTACCCAATTATTTCAGTTGGTTTTGGTGCTTCAAAATCATCCAATTCAGAGGTTTTGGTGACGACAAGAACAGTGACATATGTAAGCGAGACTGCTTCAAGGTACAAAGTGAGAATTATCAATCCTGAAGGTGTGACTGTGACAGTTGATATATCCTGAAGAGTTGGAATTCAAAGAGAGAGGTGAGAAACAAAGTTATAAGGTTAAGATTTCAACCAAGGAAGTGGTTGTGACTGATGATAAAGTGACAAGTATTGTTGGGAAATATGTTATTTCACCTATTGTTGTGACATAAACTGAAATAGCCTAAGTTTTGTATGGTTTCATTATGCTTTTGTAATAATAATTATCTAAATAAAAAGATAAATAAATTTTTTATGTTTGAGAAAACATGTGAGACCCATTTTTTACTATAAAAAAAATAAATAAAATAATCATTTATTATCATCCCTTTTTCATTTCTCTCTCTTACAAAACCAATTTTTATTTTAAATTAAAATTTTTAACATAAAATTATAAACGGATAACATATTTGAGACCAACCCTTCAAAACAAACAAAATAAGTGATATTTTTAAATAATTTTATCTGTTGTGTAAGCAATCAATTTTTTATATTTTATTTCTTTTGTTTGTGTTTTTAGACAAAAATATCGAACACGTTTTTATTTTTGATGTATTTACATTTTTCACATTTTTCAAACATTTTCAATATTTTCAGAAAATAGAAAATGAAATCACAAAATTCATAAAAGAATACACCCTATTTATACCGTCCATTTAGTTTTTTATTATAACTTTACAATTTACGGGTAACATTTGCTAAAAACAATTAATACACACAAACTCATCAGTATGCAAAATAACATTGATTTAAAGACCTTAAATGGGAAAATATTATTTGATTAATTTGAATGTCCAAACATAATATACATAAATACTATTATATAAATAAATAGTTGAGATATTTAACTTAAATTATTGACACCAATTTTTAACCAATTTTAAAAATATCATCCTATTAAAAAATGCAAACATATCGTTAAGAAGGGCTACACTTGTTGGGCCTCATTCAGCCCAAACCCAAGCCGAAGCCCATTTCCACACAAGTGTTCTCTTTCTCACTCTCATCTTCCTTTTCTCTCTGAACAGAAACTAAAAACGTAACAGAAACATCTTAACAAAGGCCTGACAACTCCTCGGTATATAGTATATTGTCTGAAATGACGACCGTCGAGACACAGACAGCGATGGCCGAGTCATCGAAACCCAAAAACGATGTACCAGCTACTGTAAAGGTCCAACCATCGTTCAAAAGATGGGGTAGAATGCATCCCTTTGTAAGATACGGGCTGCCCATGATCTCTTTGACGGTGTTTGGGGCACTTGGACTCGGTCATCTCTTGCAAGGAAGGTTCGTGCAATACCCATTTGGATTTTATTCTTTTACTGCTTCGTTTACTAAGACTATTGATGGTTTGATTGGTTGATTAGGGTTTATAATTTCGAAACTTATTTAGGTTCTCATTTAGAATTGCTTAAATTCTTTGAGTTGATCGGTTTATGAGAATTGAAACCTTGGGCATAATGTGTATAGTACATAATTTCGTGACCAAAATTTAAGATTGGCAGATGTAAAGTTTGCATTTTTTGTGGGCGTAATATGATTTTGGTTTTTTGAGCTTTAGCCTAACTCAATCCATCAATCATTAAAAGTAGTTGTGGGAAACTAATGAAAAACAGATGCATCCTTTCACGAATGAAACTACCATGGGTGATCTTACATTTTTTACTAGCAACAGGTTTAATGAATATATATGTCCATTAGGTGGTCGGGTTCAGTTTTTGTAAGTTATGAATAGAAAGTATCACTTTTTCTTTCAGTAGTTTATGACTTTATTCATCAGGCAGACAAAGTTAATGTTGCGTCTCTCATGAAGCAATCTGTTCAGACCCTTTCTTAATGCATTCCCATCATTCTGGCATCTCTAATGTCTTATTGTCAATCATTTTCTTCTTATTGTTCATCTAAAATATGGTGGGACTTTGTAGTTCAGCAAGGAAATTGCAAAGGTGAAAGATGATCAGGAGTGGGAGATTATTGAGACTAGAAAAGCACTGTCAAGAACAGGACCCGTAGATGCATACAAGCCAAAAAATATCTCACTGGAAGAGGAATTAAAGGTATAATCACTCTTCTAGGAATCCACGATTGATATAATCAAGGCATTTATATGTTTATGGCCTCTTTTTCTTTCTCTGTTTCTTTTGTTTTGATTGTTTCTCTGTTCTATAGGCATTGCAAGAGAAGCTGGACATAAATAACTACGAGTATAAGAGAATTCCTAAGCCAAATGAAGGAAAGTCAGACTAGTTTGAGGCTCTCTCTATTCATGGTTTTTGTATCATTATACCACTCTTTAGCATTTCATAGAAATGTGAGGGCTTGAATCTCGTGAAATTTTGTTTGAATATACTGGTTTTTCTTTTTTCTTTTTCCTCTTTTCAAGTGAACTTTCAATGTCTGTTTCTGACCAGTATCAGCTGATGTATTACATGCATATGATTTTTGTTGGAATAACTTTATAGCTATAGTGATATTGTTACGAAACCTGATCAACTATTAGTGCATACTTAAACCATTGAATTAAATATATTGTTGAGAGTAGATTAGTAATTCATTTTTTGCAATAAAATTCTTTTGCATTCCATTGTGCAGAATATTTACTAGACAGGAATGTAAATTAAGCGGACAAATTTTATTCATCTTACTTTTATTTACTTTACATCTTATATTGCAACTAAATTAAGAGAAGAAAAATGAAAGCCAACAAGAAAGCAAGTTATATGCTTGCAAACTTCACAGTGGAGGTGGAGGTGCCGGAGGAAAAAAATCTGGACAGCAGCCAGTAAATAGACCACAGCAGCAGAGAAACCACAAGCTGGGAATTGAAGAGAAAACATATTAGGAACCTGGAAAAAATAACTGCCCATTATATCCTTTTCAGCTGTAAAGTAAAGAGTTATGGGGGAAAGAAAGAAATCATACCATGACGTCAATGGTCCATTATACCCTAAACCTGGTGGACCTGGCGGTGGTGGTGCAGCATCCGGAGGAGGTGGATCCATCAATGATAGAATGAAGTTTGAGGAAGCCAATACACTTGTGACAAAGATCGTATAAGTGAGGAGAAATTTGAGCCTTTTTATGGATCAAAGCATTGTGCCCAACAGATAACAGACTTTCTGTCTGCTGATTTGGTGCAACTTCTTTTCTTGATACATGCATCTACCATTCAACGTTAGAAGAAATATCACATCAAGTCATCTTTGGATACTTGAGACTTGTCCCACAGTTGCACTCAGGTCTATTTCTTCGATGCGTATTGCCAAATATAATTTCACAATTAGAGTTGTAACAACAGTGACACCAACACAATTCTTAAGGGTTTTTATTTTTTATTTTTTTGGTGGCATAATAGGATATTCACTAAATTAAGAGTAATTTTAAAGCTTTAAGTCCTGAGATTAAACTGAAAAGAAAGAAAACAGACAAATGTCCATTCTGAGATTGGTGTGACTTTCATGGCAATGGAGCTTTTAAGAGTACCACAAACCAAAAGAAAAGGATAAAAAGAATAAAAAAGAGCTATACCATGTGGGTCATACTATTCTCACACTGTGGTTTTGTGTTTTACCCTTGGCCTAGGAAATTGTTGCAGAAGTGTTGACTCCGGCAGATTTTTGAATACAGATAGGTCCACTTAGAATAAAGTTGAGGAGCTTCATCTTTTTCAGGTCTACCCTAAACTCCGAACTGATGTATAAAGTTATGTTTAATATTATAACTACATTGGAAAATTCTTCCTGTAACTTTCCAGACTTGCTAAGAGTCATTGAATGCCAAGCATTTGTCAAAGATTGAATTAAATCAGCTTTGAATTCTCAACATATAGGGCAATTTAAGGCTTTGAGTGACAGCTACGATTAAGATTAAGATTAAGATAATAAAAATAAACAACACTTTATATAAAGAATTGAGAGCAAGTAATTATATATTAGGTGAAGGGTTCACCCAAAACATTTCCACAATTACAAACTTATGCCCAGTTCTTCCAAGAGAAGCCATTTCTCTTATGTACACACCCCCAACAACACAAAACAAACAAAAAATATTGTTGTAAAGCCTACCTAGTGTTCCTCTCTTTTTTCCCAAATATATTCTTTTGCCCTTTCCTCAGGTTTTATTCATTTACAAATACAAAGATGAGCAAAAACCACAGCCAAGAAACTCCTCTTCTTATATCTCCAATATATTCCCCTCCCCAAACAAAACTGTGAAAAATATAGGAAAAAAGATGCTGGAAAATATTTGAAGTGTGTACTTCAAATATTACCTTGGTTTCGGTTGAGATCCGAAAGACCATAACGGTTGAACAAGCCTTTGAGCTGATGGACTACCCAGTAACATAGCCTGTGATCGAGTTAGCATCTCAGACATGGATGGGGTTTGATAAGACTGAACAAGACTTGACCCATCGGTGGAGTCACCTCTTGCTGTTGCTCTCTGCCATGAATGCGAACTCAGACCTGAAAGAATATATGCTCTGCCAGATGCCTCATACACATGCCTGCTTGCCATCCTCTCTTGCATTTCTTTGAGCTCGGCATCCAATGCAAGACAGAGTCGATCATTAGATTTAGCTGACACAGTCTCTGCGAGTAACTGCCGACAATTCTCAAGGATAGAAGCAGCACCTGCCAGATCTCCCTGCTCAGCTGAAGTCCTCGCCAATGCCATTGCCTCTGCTGCTTGGAGCCGGTTACGTTGCCTGTCCACTTCAATTGATACTACTTCTTGTCCTACTATTTCAGGTCTTTCAATCTTGACATCATTACTTTCTCGAGTTACCATTTCTTTAGTCAAGGGATCCTTGTAAATACATCTCACTTTTAGCAATGAAGTCTCATTTGTCGAAGACTCTGCTGGAACATTAACTGATACCAGAAAATCCCTCTCTTCATCAGCATATAGATCTCCAACATCAATAAATCCAGTGCGTCTATCAACCATTACACGGCTTGGGTAACTTCCTGCTTTTAATGAGCCAAGACGGAGACTTGGGTGCATGCATTCTATTCCCACTTGCAGCTCCTGTACCACAACACTCAAAAGCCCTCCAATGCATTGTGCAAATGCATCCTGGATCACAGCTTCAGTCTCAATGAAAGAAAAGGTCCCTCCAGAGGTCTCTGAAATTGAATGCATTAATGAAGCATCATGATCTGTACCAAAGCCAAAAGAGTGCACTGGAATCTGGAATCCACTGTTATCACTTCCATGAATTGCCCAAGGGAGGAGCAACTGATAATTGGGCTGAGGATGGTTGCCACCAGAAGAGTTAACTGTATATGTATCCTGCCCATCTGACAACAATATTATACTGGCCACAGGGTTCTTTTCCTTACGGTCTTCCATTACCTTTGCACCTTTCCTCAGACCTTCGGCAATGTTGGTTCCACCATTTGCAACCAAGGAATTAACCGCCTGAAGTGCTTGCTGCCGTCCTGTGTTAGACATTCGACGTAGGGGAAAGAGGCGGCGAGCTGTGGAAGAGAAGGCGATAACTGAGAGCCTATCATTGGAGCCAAGGTTTTGTATGACAAACCCCATTGCTCGTTTTAGCAGTGCAAGCTTGGTACCAGCCATGCTTCCACTGATGTCAAGTACAGTAACTAGGTCAACTGGAGCGCGTGGTGTTTGAGAAAGTTGAGGCAAGCTAGTCTGATTTCTGCTGGGATTTTGTGTAGTAATAGTAGCAGCGGCTTTGAGATTGACCAAAACAGTGAAGTTATCATAAGAATTGGACTGAGGTGCAGCTGAAACTTCTGGGTATGTTTTGATTTCTACAGCTCTAATGGAACTGGTATCTGCAACACTGTTACCGCTGGAGCTTCGGTCAGCTGACACTGGTTGGTGATCCAGGGATTCATCATCATCAAATACTCCTGGCTCAGGAGCCTGAAATAACGGAACAATGTGCCGTCGACTCAAATCCCGATGAGGAGGAGGTATTCGGCGAACCACAGTCATCAAAGCATCATTTTGATGCCAACCTATTGGATTGACTACTGCCCTCCCAGGAAGAGGATCTAAGCCAGGACCCTGCATGGGGATCTCTTTCCATTTTGCCCTGCAAACTGGACAAATTTGGTTACCATGTTTCACATTTGAAGCAATGCAGTGGAAATGAAAGGAATGTGAGCACTCTGCAGTGAAAATAGCATGCCCCCCTCCCTGTTTCATCTTTGTCAAACATATCGAGCAGGTTTGCTGAAAATGCATAACAGGAGCAAAATATATGAGATTATACCTTAAAGAACCAAAATAAATCTGAATAACTTTGGTTACCAGCATTGGTCTGACAAACACACATGCAATACTACACTATGAACATCATGTTTCAGAATATCTCTGTGCATTGAAGTCATTAATAAACAACAATTTTCAAGCAACTCACATACGATTTTACATATAACAAAAAAAAAATTTGCACTATTCCATAACACCATCAATGCCAAGTGACAGGACAAACTAAATCAGAGGACAAAAGACGAAAACTATAAACTTGGCACTAAAACTTGTTAAACACTGGGAAAGAAGAACTTAGAAACTGATCTATTTGTCCCCAAATTCATTCTGGTCATCCTGTAGAGCTAAAATGCCAAAGGGCACATATAAACTGATTTTATTGTTAATTAAGAGTTTGAAACCTCATGCCGTCCTCAATGTGAACCAAACTCCCCCAACTCCAATGTGAATTTTAGTGAAGGACGGGTTCTCAAAGAACTACTTAAAATGGATTTGGTAATAAAAGTAACTCCACTTTTACCATCAGGGCAAGAAAACATATAAAAAATTGAGACTATGCAGATGGCCACATATTGAGGATTTGGTATTTCTACAAAGTCGGCATGTTTCACGTTTATATTAACCTCTTCACCTCCTTTTTTAGTAAAAGTCAACAACAATCTTTTAGGTGGCAGAATGTTATAATATCCCATGTTTTTTTTACACAAGTTTGAGGGTCTTATAAGGATGTCTCATCATAAGAAGGAAACAACACCTACCAGAAGAAATCGGGTATGTATAGCCTTGCCCTATAGGCCAAGCAATAATAAGTAGAACAATCTAGGAAGTGGAGAGATATCTAGAAAATTTAAGAAATGAATAAGAGAAGGAGAGAGAGTTAATTGATTAGCCATAGCTAGTATAAATGCTTAAAAAGTAGTCAATGTTAGGCATCCAAAAAATAGAGAACATAGTAGGAAATAAAGTTTGATATATCAAAAGAGTCAATTTCAAAAGGTTATCAAGTAACCACAGTGTTACAGATGATGATATGGACCTTTCAAAACAACTTGGGAGAAAAATGAAGAAACCAATCTATCAAAGAAAGGATAATCATAAGTTTCTTTATGATATATCTTTTTCTTTTTTTCTTCTTTTAACTTCTTTGATGAAGTTCACACCTAGAAAGCTTGCATTTTAATAGTCAACAGATGAGGCCACCATACCATACTTGCTTTTCTTCCACCCAAGAGGAGGAAAAAGCAGTAACCCCACAAGCCTAAAGAGGGGAAAACAACATGACACAAAATAAATTGCTCAATAATTTCATATACTTTGCAAAATTAGTTAGAACACCGTTAATCAGTACAACTTATTTATCAGTGACTAAGACATATTCTGCTTCTTCTTTTTTTNTCAGTTTGTTTTGAAGTTTTTGGTTGTCCTGGAGTTGCAGTTCTGCTACTTGCAGATTTGGGCAGTTTTTGAAGTTCTTGTTTTGCAGTTTCTGCTACTGCAAACTTGGTGCAGTTTTTGAAGGTGTTTTGCAGTTCTTCTACTGCAGTTGTTTTGCCCCTGCAGATTGAAGTTTCAGTGCAGTTGTTTTGCCCCTGCAAATTTGAAGTTTGTTATGAAGTTTTGGTTGATCTGGAGTTGCAGTTCTGGTACTTGCAGATTTGGTCTTGAGTGGAGTAATTGTTCTATAGTTTTTGGTTGCAAGGAATCAGTTTGTTTTGAAGTTTTGGTTGTCCTGGAGTTGCAGTTCTGCTACTTGCAGATTTGTGCAGTTTCAAAGTTCTTGTTTTGCAGTTTCTGCTACTACAAACTTGGTGCAGTTTTGAAGGTGTTTTGCAGTTCTGCTACTGCAGTTGTTTTGCCCCTGCAGATTGAAGTTTCAGTGCAGTTTTTTTTTTCTGCAGATTTGAAGTGTCAGTCTTTGAAACTTTCTTTTGGTAAGAAAAATGCAGCCCCTTCAGCTTTGAAGTTTCTGGTTTTGAAACTTTCTTGCTATGGTGAGAAAATGCTGAGAAAATGCAGCTCAGCCATTTGGTTCAATGTAGTTAGCTCTTCAGTTCAAACAATGGGGTGAATTCCAGTTTGTTGGACAGATTCAGCACAATGCAGAAAGTGCAATGTAAATAGCTTAAGCAGTCATGTTTGAGGGGCAATGTTGGACAAATGCGCTGCCGATTTTAACTCAAATATTAAAGAGTCAAAACACTGTCGTTTAGAGTGTAAAAGTTCACTCAAAATCTATATATGTAAAACAGTAGCTACTTACTTTGTAATTAACGAAAAGTGCAGTAAAAAGGCGTTTCTTCTCTGCTCCTGCTCTCTCTCTTTTTCAATTTTTCTTGTCAATTTTCTGCTTTTCAATTGCAAAGTTACAAAGATGTGCCCTTCCTTGCCCTTCAATTCCATCCTTGTGATTAAAGTGCAATTTTTAAATGCAAGTTGGCTACGATATATCCAAGAACCAAAAATTACTTATTTTCTTGATACAAAGTACAGTATTACCTATAATGTATTTTATATATAAATTCTATATTTTAAAAAGAAAGATATACAGAGACATAATGCTTAAATATATTGGATAAACAATACAATTTTATTTAAGAGGCCAAAGTGTAATATACGTTCAACGAATCAGTTGAAACCAAAATATAAAAATGCATTCAAAGATATTTAATTTAAGGGGGCCACAGTAAAAAGGAATTTTTGGGATGAAACTTTGATTCTATATCCAGAATTCAAAAAATATTTAGGACACTGGCCATCTCAGGCCTAATTACTATAGTTTGTCTTTGCCGAGATGATAAATTAAATTAATTTTAATTTTGTTAACGACAAAAATAAAGTTGCCCTTGATCTTGAATTTTAATTAAAACAAAAAATTAATAAATATCTTAAGACATTAAAAATAGTATATCACTCCACTCTTTAAACTTTTTTTTTTCTTTTTCCCATTTTAGTGCATGTACCTTTCTAAAATGATGAATAAAATCTTTAAGCTATCTTTGTAAAATAGTTGTATGCTAAGGGCATCTCCAAATGACTCTTTATATAACCCAAACTCTTTATTATAAAGAGTTTATCCATAAAAATAAGAGTCCAACAGATTCTTTATTCTTTAAATATAAATTAAAGAATGAGTTTGACTCTCCACATTTAAAGAGTCAAATTTCACTCTCTATCATAATTTTAAATAATAAATTGCAAGTTTTTATGCATTTTATTTATGATTTATCTCTTCTATTAAGTTTCTTTCTTGAAAAAACAAATTCTCTCTCATAAAATTTAAAGAGTCTATTGGATTTGAATAAAAATTTTGTTTTTTATATTTAAAAATCAATGAAGATGCTATTTATTTATATAAAAGAAGCTCTTTAAAATAAAGAGCATCACTGGAGATGCTTTAAGATAAGGTTTTGGAAAGTGTCGAAATGTGAAGTCCAAATTATACATTAAATGAAAGTGTCTTCATAAAATTTGTGTTCTCCCATTCATTGAAAAGAGGTTTTTGGTTCGTGGATATCATGTAATCCAATATTTTTTATTGTTATTATTTTACACACCTATTTGCTCATTTCAAATTTATGCTATTAATGAGGTTTATCAACTTTCTAATAATGCGGACTACACATAAAGATAACATATTTAAAACATATGGACTCTTGTATTGATTGAAGAAATTATCTAAAATAATTTACAATAAATCATTGAAAATTCATATATGAATCTTGCGTATAGTTAACTAATAGGGAAGATTACTAATATTTTTATTTTTTTATGATTGGAGTATTCGGGCCAGTTTGCACGCATCTCAATTAATCTTCGAGCCCATTGAATATCTTACAAACTCATTGTTTTAAGATAAGTCACAATTGTGATAAGTGGTGTCCAGGTTCAGAACCAGAAAGTCAATAAAGAAGATAAATATTCTTGACCGTCAGGCCAACCCTGTAAAGTTAATTAGATTAGAATAATGCTACGGACACCGATAATTTGTACCAAATTTTTATACTGACGTATGTAGCATCCATTTAAACGCAACCACATTAGAGACAATACTCATCTTTCGTGAATAAACGGTCGTCCAATAATTATAGACGCTCGTCCATATTTGATGGACGACTGTTCATCACGAATGAACAGTTGTCCACTATGAATGGATGTCCATCTATAATTTAAATTATAAAAGAATAAGGGTGGACGCTCATCCATATCTATTTTCAATAATAATAATAATAACATACTAAAAAATGCATGAGTTTTTATTGGTCTCTTATATGGGGAAATACAAAGCTTTAGACTTTAGAAGTCAAATGATGCTTTTGTTTTACACGAAATTCATTGCTGGCCTGCAAAATCAAAATAAATCAATATACCATTTACCAACATAAGAATATGTCTGTAATCTAAATGAGAAGCAAAACTAAAATATTCAAAATAATAAATACCTTAGTATCTGCATGCCAATGGACAGTCGTCCATATCATATAGACAGGCGTCTATTATTATATTTTTAAAAATTTATGGATGGGCATTCATTTGAGGTGGATACCCGTTCATAAGAAATAGACTCTCGTCTATATAATATGAACATGAATCCATTGTTATTTTCGTACGAGATTGATGGACGGTCGTCTATTCGTAATGAACGGTACCGTTCATTCACGAAAAACGTGTTTTGTCTTCAATGTGATCGCGTCTGACTGGATGTCATGTCCTTCGATATAAAAATTCGGTGTAAAAAATCAGTTTATGTAGCATTATAGATTAGATTATATTATTCATTCAATAATATTTCTTAAAACAAGTCAACAAGGAATGATTATCTTTGAATTTACATTTTGTGAAACATTATTAATTTTTTTTATTTTTTTTTTTAAGTTAGAAACTTCGAAATGTTGACATTTGAATTGACTGTATATTTATCTTATATTTTTAAGACATGATAACAATATACAATAAAATTTTGAATATATCTTCAGGACATTTCGAAGTGGAGTGACAAAATATTCTATATATATACGTTGAATTGTCCACCCACGTAGTTATTGAAAAGGTTGAACTTTTAAGTATGCTCAATTCATAATATTTATTAATAACAATATATATATTAAATGAATGACTTTTCTAGTTTTCTAAACCTCTATGAATATATTAATGTCCTCCATTTGTTTAAATAGCAATAAATAACTTGGATACGTGTGCATATTTGTAACCTTTTGTTTTGATCATCTCACACAAAACGTTGTTCTAAGAACCCCCAGAAGCCCGCCCTCAAAATTATCATTCAATGGTCAAATTCTACCCACATTGAAATCTTCAAAATATATAGCCTCTACCCTCTGAGTTTAGATATATTTAAACAACAGTTGAATAGATTCACAAGTTTCCAGCAAGTTATGGAGTTATTCAAGATAACCATGCTTATACTTTTCTTTGAAATTGAAACCTACTGAATTGACCTGACTTAGTCATCATATTTGCCTCAAAAGTTTCCATGAAAATTAGGGTTTATATTTAGTTTCATATTTAAGGTTATCTCATCAATAGAAAGTGGTGTATTAAATGTTTGTTTAATGGATTTAATAAGAGTTAAAAGAGGGTTTGAGTAGTAAGAGAATAAGTTCAAATCTATTGATTATGGGCAGGCACTAACAATAAATGGAAGAGGAGGGTTGAAGGAGAAATAAAGAAGGATTCTAGAGAATTTAAGTAGTGTGAAAAATGGACCATTTCAAATCATTCTCGAGTCACCAATGGAAGAGAAGAAGAATTGCTGAAGTTGGGTCCAGGATGTATGCATTATTTGTAGAATAGTAGAGGGCACATATTCATGGAATTTGATTCTTCTCTCCATGAAAAATACTACTACTACTACTACTACGACTACAACAACATTTCTTTATCACAACATATTCAGTGGAGATGGAATTTTTCATTGCTTTCAAAAGTTTCGTGTTGGAGCATCAAAAAATTATAGTTCAAACTTCAAAGTGTATATCACAACATATATCAAAATCTTACATATATGCATGTATATGTGCAGTAAATACGAATGAAAACTGATCATCTAAGATGAGTTATAAATCAAAATGCTTTGTTATATAAATTACATGTATATTTTGACATTATTTTATATATAGGGTTCATGAGTGATTTCATTTTTTTGGTCTGAAATTTGATTTGACGTTATTTTATATAATATGGTTTATGGGTGATTACATCTTTTTGGGTCTGCAATTTAAAGAGCAAATGTAAGTGTGTGTGTATATATATATATATGAACTCTGCATATAAATAAAAACAGATAGTATGAGATAAGTTATAAATTAAAACGTCTTATAAGTTATGGTTTATGGGTGATTATCTGAAATGTAAGTTTTTCATTTAAAAAAAGAAAAAAGAGAGTAAGAAGAAGATGATGATGATGATGATGGAGATGAATGATATGGTGGGTATGAGTGGGGGAGATTGGTATACCCACTAACTTTCGATTTACTAACTTAAAAAGACAACCTTTTAAAAGGTGGGGGGAAAAATGTTCTATCTTTTTAGGATTGGAAAAGTTATTCCTCTCCCCACAAAACATCAACAAGCTAGGAACCAAACAAGCCTGTGACTTCCTTTTTAAAGAAAGAAAAAAAAAAATGTTTTACTCCTCTTTTGAGAGCACACATGCTTCACACAACTTGAGAGAGAAAGAGAAAGAGAGAGCAATAATGATGAGTGCTTCTCCTGAGTGGAGATCCATTAACAAAAGAATTTTCGTAAAAACTCCTTGATGAATGAAGAGGATAGGATTCCCTCTAAATTTGCCAGACTTTCTGCCCAAAGTCAACTACAAAGCTGTCTTCTATTCTTGTAAGGCATATGAACTTCTCTTATTGTGCTCCCCACTTAACATCATCGAGATGTCTTCTTATTCCCTGCTTTTACCATTAATAACAAAAACAAAAATCTGTAAAACTGAAATATCCAGATCCAGGATTTAATGTTAGATGTGAAATACGTTTATTTTCTTGTTATCTAGTTGTATTGCAACAAGATACGTTTAGAAATAGCTCTATGTTGGAGTTGTCGATCCCTTCAACAATAAGGCAGTTTAGGCCTTTTCCATGAAGAGTCGAACGATTTTCAAAGTTATTTATTTATTATTGAGTTTGGTTTAGGAATATGAATCCTTATAATACAGTATTAGGGTTTAGTCTTTTAAACTTAGTATATAAACATATTTTTCTCTTGTATAAGTATGATAGTAAATTATACAACAAATTACATTGACTATAAACGAGAGAGGTGAGACAATATTACAATAATATTGACTCTACTAGACGTAACCTATTAATTGGATAAATCATGATAGATCACACATATTATTTTATTAACTAGGATTTGATATCTCTCATCCGTTTATGTTTTGTTTGGATGGGTCACTAAACATTAAAAACTTAGATTTAGTTTTAAAATAGTGTTTAGAGCATAAATTATGTTCCTAAACTTTGGTGGTGGAGATAATTAAAAATTAATCAAAGAATGATAATATTCTTTGAAAGATACTATTACGAGAAGAAGGTAAATCTTAAACAGGGGACAAGTAGCTTTTACAGAAATATGATGTCACATGTATTGATGATGAACATGATCATGATCATCACCAAGTCAAACCTAATCCATGCACTTTGTGGGCTCCATTTTTGTTTATTTATTTATATATCATCTCCAGCAATTTGAGTATGCTTATGCTTTTTCTTTTTGTATATTATTACTATTTTCTTTTCATAAAAGGAGATTTATGATTGTGTGCATGCATGTTGCATTTAAAGTGAAATCTATGTAAAAATTTTGCATAACTGACTCCTCCAATCAGAATTCTTGTGTCTTAATTAATTTTTTATTTTATTTTATACTACTTAGTTAAAATAAATAGAAAATAAGCATAACTGTGTGACAATATTACCACCCTTGGGTAACTCAAGTGGTAGCCGCCTAACCGGTAGGATAAACATTGGGATGTGTGGTTAGAGGCCTATGGTCTCAGGTTTGAATCTCTTTAACTCCCAAGATTTAAATGGAAGCTGTGACGATAGGTTGTTACGTTAATCTCCCTCGAGGATTAACGATTTAAATGGAGAGCCATGGTGGGAGATTATTGTACTAGTCTCCTCTGAAGGTTAGCTGAAGTACTCTAAAGGTGACCTGAACACCCTACTTATAAAAAAAATAAAAGTGTGACAATATTACAACTTTATCGACTTAAAAATGTTATAATTACAGACCAACCTACTTATATATGAGTGGGGGCTGGTGACCCTCTCAGGAAAAAGATTTCTTTAATTTGATTTTGAATTTTTTATTTTGATTAGTCTGTGTTTGTATTAATATTTTTAGATTTAACCTCATTAATTTACTTTATCATATTTTATATTATTTTATTTTGAATTTACCCCCCTAAAATTAATTTGTGTCCACCAACTTGTTATTAATAAATAATAATTAAATCTATTTACTTCTATAAGATCCAATTATATTAAACTCTTAGAATTCACTAATGATACTATTTAGTAACTATATTTTCTTTAAACTGATTAAAATTATAAAGACTAAAATTGAAACAATCGGTTACTTCAATCATCATGCAGTCATGTACTGCCCTTTTAGGTTATGGGCCGAACCTCTTACGTTAAATTGACCCATGTCCAAGCCCAGTTCAGGAAGCCCAAAACAATCATAACTGTTGACAATTAAGCTAGATTGTTTTAAAACCCGATCCGTTGTGAGATCCGGCAAGGTGACCGGGTCACGGGTCGACCGGTTGGACTGATGACGTCAGCAATGATTTTATTTTAAAAAATTATAATTAATCCCTTAAATTTTAGTATATTACAAACATACCCCTAAATTTTTATTAGTCCCTAAAATTTTTATTTATTACAATAATGCCCCAAACAAATTACTAATTAATCCCTAAACTTTTGATATATCTACAAAACACTCCTATAAAATTCAATGAGTCCTTATAAGTTTGAAATATTATACAAAAAACCCCCTGAAACCTGAATAGGACCTGAGAAGTTGCCAGGTCCCGATCGGACTGGTCGGGGTTTTAATTCTTAATTGCTAGCAGTTATGACTGTTTTGGGCTTAATTTAAGAGCAAAACCAAACTGTGCACAAAATTTAGAATTGAAATACGTATGCAAGATAGTATATGTATCTGTTGGGATCCCACATTGAAAGGGAAAAGGGTGGGCATGTGGGTTATAAAGGCTTGGGCACCCTCCCTTAGCAAGCCGGTTTTCCAAAGAGAGTTTTACCCAAGCCCATGAAAGACCCATGGCCCATCCCAAGTTGTTAAGTTATTGGAGTGGGTTCCTATCAATTGGTATCAGAGCATGATCTTGCGCCTATGTGGTAGTGCACGCGTGGCAGGCTAACCCGTGGCAGGCTGACCTTGAACCCGGGCTACTACCCCGAGAAAGGGCATGGAGGCCCGAGAGAAAAGGGGATCCGCGTAGTCACCCAAGGGGTAAAGAGGCCGACGGGGGTAAAGAGGCCGACGTGGACGTCGGTTGCGGAAACGTGATAGAATGTTGGGATCCCACATTAAAAGGGAAAAGGGTGGGCATGTGGGTTATAAAAGCTTGGGCACCCTCCCTTGACAAGCCGGTTTTCCAAAGAGAGTTTTACCCAAGCCCATGAAAGACCCATGGCCCAGTCCAAATTGTTGAGTTATTGGAGTGGGTTCCTATCAGTATCACAATACTTTAAAGACTTTATAGAAGTGCCAAAATTTCATCATATGAATATTTCGATTTATGAAACAAATTTTAATGTTTTTGAACAGCTTTCTGTACAAATGCAGCATCTCTTGATATTCAACCCTTCCCAACAAAGAAAAGAAATAACTACACTTTGGAGTTACAACATTATCATCCTACCCCTCAGATTTGTAGTTACATCCCATTTATCTGCATATCTTTTCTCATATCGTTGTCCACTTTATCTCAACATGTATAATGCCATTCTTGGAATTGATTAGATGGTATTTTTCATTGATGCGTCCATTGTGCACAACATCAGTAAGATTAATTTCTACATATCCCAGTGATTCCTGCATAAATAGAAGATGGCTTTAATTTCGAGCTTAGTAAAAAATATGTAAAAAATATACTAGGTAAGATTGAGAGTGTCATGCTACCAGTGCTCGAAACCTAAAGCCTGTCCGCTTACTCATAACCTCAATATGGATCTTCTCATGTAAAGGAGCATCCTCAAGCATAAACTGGAACTCTTCGTTCCATAGAGGGTTACGATTTTTTTTTATCAGCTGCAGAAATGAAAATGTGCTTAGCCAAAAAATATATCTTTAACTGAACATCCAGCTGAGTTTCTCAACAGGACTGCAGCTAACAGAAAATTCAACTCAACCCGAAATTTATTTTACTAAGCATATGGAGGAAGCAAGAAATATCAGTTCTATAAAACATGAATATCTGATTGATTCTGGGAAAGTAGTCACAATATAACATACAAGTGAAAGGTATCGGTATATATTAAGAAAAAAAGTTCACCTTTGTTTTCTTTTTTTCTCCTCTAAAAAGGACTAAAGTGTAAGGATTGTTGTGACGCTCCCCTTCTACGTCTTCAGCTCCTTGGACTATAACTGAAAGTAAACCTGCTCTGCCCAAGGTCTCCTGATTCACATTGAACGACTGATTAATTCCACTATCCATTGTGCTATATTTCTCTGATAGCGCAGTACTGAACTTGCAGCTGTCTTCTCTAAAAGGTACATAGGTAAGCTCAACTACAATTTGCCCTCTATGACTCTTGTCTTTAGGATCAGTAATATTTGTGTGCTTGAGCAAATCTAGAGTAAATTCTTTCGTCTCATTTGGTGTAAGTACTTTTAGGGGAACCAATTGCATTCCCAACCTGTCATGTCTGCCAACCTGTGAATATAAAGCCGAAGAAAATATCCTCAGTATAACTAGACTCCAATAGATTATTCATGAGAAACTTGAAAGAAAACGAAATCTTTGTCGACACAACAAATACTGATTTTTTTTCTTTTCCCTGATTATTAACAGCAACAAAGTGGATAAGGGAAAAACCTTGTCCCAGTCAAATACTTGTAATTGAAGGACTTGAGATTGGGGTTCCTTCACAAGAAGCTTGAAGTTTTCGTTCCATTCAGGATTTAAGTTCCTCTTTTTGATGGTGGTTTTCTTCGATGGTAGCCTCTCCCCAGTTAGGCTGAGTTTGACATAAGGATCAGACGTTCCAAGAAAGTCCTTCTTTAAGAGTTTCATAGCCCGCGCAACCTTCACACGTAGTATCCCCACAGGCTTCTTTATGGCCATACTAGACAAAGATGACAAAAGTATTTATCAGAAAAATAAAAAAATAAAGATAACATATAAGAAATCCGGTTAGTTTGCTCTCTATTTTACTAGCCTTCATTACTTCACTTCAGGGATTTGTTACTTGCATGAATCCCTTGTAAGGATTATGCACTTAAACTAGACTAAAAGCTAGCTATTGGCAAAGGTACAACCTCATTTCCTTAAACTTTCCAGCCTCACGTCTACAGTTTGACTGTGACTTGGCCTCTGCCACATGGCAGGATCCTGGCCCACCTGACCAACAGGCCTTAAGCTAGAAGGAGGTTATTGCATAAACAGCTCTTGAAGTTTGGTTTGTTTATGAACTCAATGGAAAGATCCTTGTATATAGTTTTCCAAGTCTACACAAAATCTGATAGCTTAATTTCACAGAATTCATGTAAAAAAATTTTAATTTTATGAAGGAAATATCTAGATCTTTCTTGAATGTAACACATTATTCCTTACGTCTAAAATTTTAAATTATAAATAAGGAAGGCATGAAACCTGTAAATTCAAGCACCATTAGAAAACAAAAATGTTTAATCATTTAATAAAACTTACGCTGAATCATCAAGAATTGGTATGTCAAGTGTTTGGGGCCAAAGGTAGAGGCTTGCAACATATTTCTGAATAGATTTCTGCAAGAACCGAGAACATTGGTTGATTCTTAACCAGCCAAAAGTAAGCACACATAACATCCGCAAACAACCAAATTTAAAATATATATTTAGACCCAATCCCTACCCAAGAGAGAATCACCAGTTTAGCACCTGAATGAATTGATAAAGGCCAGGTATTGACATGATGTCCCCTCCTAGTACTTTCACTCCAAAATCTACGTGTGGCTGCAATCAATGAAAAAATTATCATACAAAATGCACTAATCCATTCACTTTGAATTACAACAGAGATAGAATCAACACCTTGAGTGAAAAAAGAGATTTTCTTACCTTCTCCATCAAAGACACTGCAATTTTTCCAAAGCACGGAAAGGTAGGAACAAGAGGTTTCAAAGTTAACCGAGGTGCCGCAAATATTTGCAAATCCACTAACTGAGAAGAAGCAGAATCAATCTCGTGAAAGAAACATAATTTCTTGATATTTATAGGAACTAAAAATATTCATTCTTCTGTTAATATTTTGTCCTTAGACTCTTCTGACCTGAACTGTAATTTGGAAAGACAACAATTTTATCACCAAAACCATGTTGGGATTGCCAGCCAATCTCATTGCTGGTTCCATTACTAGCTCCTTTTCATTGGTCTCATAGACTCTGATACCTGAAATATTGTATAAGTAAACTTAAAATGAAATGCAAAAGAAAGGAAGTGCCAAGTCTTGCTAGCATCCTGTATCTTTGGGAAATTGAAATAAATAACTCAAATAAGTAGATCTGCTCTTCCTACATATGCTTTAATCAAGATTAAGCATAAAATTGTTATGAATACTTGATTATTTATGTATGATTCTAGATTGACAGCATATGTTTCCATTTCTTTATCTTGAACTTCCAACAGTAACTTTCCAGAGATTCTTAAAAATTACATCAACTGAATCCTAGAAAACATTCAATGTGGCATATGAAATATCAGCATATAACATCGTGAGTGAGCAGATACTTATGATATTAGCAAATAACTGCAAAATTTTGTGAGGTTTTAAGTGAATAGAGGCCTGTGTCATAAAGGTTAGAACTACCCTGCAGTCTAATAATCATTGTTTAATAAAAGAAGACAATTCAGTTTAACAAACATGACTAAATGTTAACTGGACTTAGTAAACATCACAAAATAAATCTTGCAGAACTTACCATGAATGGTTGGAGGTAGAGTTCCAAGAGTTAAGTTCCTAAACTCAATGGCTTCTATCTTGTACTTCCCAATGTACTCTGCAAATATTGGCTGTGCCGTGTTTCTAATTGTAGAACAAATTGCCTGTGCATTAAAATGAACTCAAGTTTAATATAATCACCAATAGGATGTGAACCATTTGAGTTGCGAAACCCACCTTATCAAGGTAAGGCCACATATCAAAGAGAAACTTGTTTAACCAGTCTACCTGTATAATCACACTAATATAGTCAATGAGTTACCCGCTTCAGGATATAAAGTAAAAATGATAAGAACATGAGAAATCAATTAACAGTAACAATGGATAAGCTGAAGAGTGATTTTGTCATTAATCATTTACGTTAAGTTGCAGTACTTACTCGATCAAAATCAGGACTCTTTATCCATAATGGAATATCAGGTAGCAGTTCATACAAAGGAATGTTATCCAACTCAACAAGGGGCTTAACCTCTGGATCCTGCATCAGATAATCCAAGCTTAAAACAAAAAGATTTTTGCAGTGAAGTTTCATCACCAACAACCTAAAATCTCAGATTACAATTGCTAATGAACACAGTCAAACAAAAATGAAGTAAACATTCTGCCAAGTTAATACGTTCACTGTTAAAGAAAACAAATTACAAGACCAAATTTAAAAAAAATTAAAAAGCCTATGAGTTTCCTTTGCAGGTGAAACATGCTACCCTGTCTTTCATTTCATCCAAACAAATCCATTCTGGTGCAAAAAGGAGAATTTCTGTCAATTTCTAAGATACAAAGCTGAAAGAGGTTTATCTCCATCCAAGGGAATGACTCAGATGCCTCCAGTGACTCCATTTCATGAGTGAAATTGGATGTATATGTTTTAATAGAAATTCAAACATTACTAAATCCTACATTCATTTTACAGCAAGAATGGTTAAAAAGATGAAAAGAAAAATTCTTCTTCAAACTTCAGAGCATTTAGACCATAAGAAACACCAGCTTAAAGACAATATATCAGAAGACAGACCATAAAGAGCCACCAACTTGACAGTCATATTCACCTAAATGCAGGTATTTAGGGGATCTGACAAAGTTAAATAACCGAAAATTTCAAAGTGAAGCTAATGCTATACAAAGAAATGACATCTAACTCAACAAGTCGCCTAACCACGGATCCTGAATGCATCAGTAATCCAAGCTTAAAACAAAAACATATTTGCAGTGAAGTCCGATCCATTGCTGATAACATAAAACCTCAGATTTTAAAAACTAATGAACAAACTTCAGACTTTAATTTACTGAGCATATTGCAATCAAACAAAAATGAAGTAAACATTCCAGAAATTCAATATGTTTAAGAAAAAAAATTGTAACAACTGCTTCTACTTCCTTCAAAATTCAAACAGCAAAAATGTGCCTGTGGATTCCCTTTCAAGTGAACTTTTATACACTATCTTTCATTCCATATAAATCTAGTTCTTCTTTTTTTTTTTTTTTTTGTATTTATCTAAATAAGCCCTCTATGGTTCAAAAAAAGGTCTTTTTTTTTTCAATTTACTAAGAACAGAGGACGGAGACTTGATCTCCATTCAAGGGAATGACTAAAATTTCAACACCGAATCCATTTGATGAGTGAAATTAGACTGTATTTGTTTAAAGGTGAGGGAATACAAATGTCACAAAAAATTCATTCACTCATTTCAAATCGCAATATAAAATAGATGAAACAGAAAACTATTTCAAAACTAAGATTTAGACCATGTGAAACACCTGCCTGAAAAACTATATATATCTAAAGGGCCAAAATTCCATCTAAAATTGGAAAACAAAGACAGAAAATCGTCAACTCAGACCATAAAGAGCCATTAATTACAGTTACTTCACGGAATGCAATATGTAAAGGAACCGAAAAAAGTTGATAATGACCACAAATTACATAGTAAGAGTGCGACAACACAGCAAGCCGTGATATGTACAAGTAAAGAGTGCGACAAACACAGGCAACCGTGATATGTGAACCAAACTTATTGGCTTCTAAAGCAAAAAAATTAAAGCATGGAGAAGAAGACTGTTGAATTAATCCGCTTTTATCACAGCCCCCACTGAATAGAGAAAAAAAAAAAAAAAAAAAAACCAATTCATAAATAAAAAAATGAAAAATCCCATTCCTATATCGGTTAACGAACATTGATCAGCAGAAAAAAAAAGTTTCCTTTTTGACAAATGCATACTTTTTCACAGAGAAATTTAAGAACCCAAGAACCGATTAATTCGATAAGAAGAGATCACGAAATAATATTGATGTTTGTTACCTCAACTTCATCAGCTTAGAATAAATGAGAAGAAGAATCCCACCAAGAGTCCAACAGGAATGCCAATAACAAAACCGAGAATTCCCAGTAAACTACTCACAAATCCCATTTGCCCTTAAACGTTTTTTGGGAAGAAACTCAAAAAAGGTGCATGAAACGAAGGGTTAAAGACGAATGCAACAAGAAAATAATGAAAGTATATTAAAAGGGTGACGAGAGCGTCTAAGAAAAATGTTTGCTGCTTAGAAACGTAACGAAACACTGTCAATGAAGGCGCAAAACGGTAGATTCTTCTATATAGATTTAAGTGTGCGAATAAACTAAGAATGATTTTAAAAAAAAAAATCACCCTTAAAACTATGAAGACTGTTCAAATACGCTGTCTAGTGTCATGTCACAGTTTGCGTTTGGTTTGTAATGGCGTTTATGATCTTGCCTGCAAGTGTTTCTTCATTAAACACTAAATCTGATGGAATTTTAATCGGATTTTGATTATAATAGAATATATTGTTACCATTTTAAGAAGATTTCTGGTAATTTATATAGAATTCTTTTCACTAGCAGAGTTTTGATTTGCTTAAAATTAATAAGTGATTATGTAGATAATCGTAGATCATTCTTTCTATGAAATTTTTAATTCCTCTTTAAAAAGATAATTTATATAAACTTTTATAGGTGATCGGGTGAAGCGATAGAGATTTTTTGATATATTATTTAAAAATTTGAGTTTAATTGCCTTCGGTTGTTATAAGAGGTGATACCACTAAAGAGTTTATCCAATTTTCCATTTTCAATTTCAGACCTCGAAAAATTAATCGAAATACGTGTAAACTGTTCGAACAATCCTGTCACCAAACAAAACTGAATAATATTAATATCTTAACAACATCTCAAATTTTCATGGGAAGAGTTAATACATTGTTCCCTAAGATTTTTGAAATAATAGAAATCATCTTATGGGTAATTCCTAGATGTACATAAACGATAGAAAGCATTTTAATAAAAATTTATTTACTCATAATTGTAAACGCTAACATTCTTTACTGGTAGTTTTTTATTTTTAATTATTTTTAAAACCTCATGGATTTTGTTATTACATTGAACCTCAAGGGTTCCTTGTAATCTATTCCTAATAATATATGAATAAAATTCCCACCAGATGAAATTAGATTGCAGATTCGAAATGTACTTTTTTCAAGCTTCAATTTCAATGCAAAGACAAGAGAGAAAGAACCAATATGTTTGGTAATCTAAAATCAATTAACAAGGAAACTTCGGCCAGATATGTCCAAAAAAATAACTAGAAAAATCTTGCTTTATTTACTTTCTTTTAGCTTTAACTTTTTATAAAGTTATTAAAGGGTGTTTTGTAAAATACTAGGATGTTATTAATTTTATAACAAGTTTGATTAAGATTTAATTTGGAGAGAAGAAAGGGACAGTGAAGGGGTAGTGTTTATGAAAGCTACGTTACAAATTGAATGGGGGCATTCGCAGATTGACAGGAGTTGGCCAACTAATTTTATAATATTAGTTGGACATTAAGACTTTGATTTTTATTTTTATTTTTTATTTTTTTATGACAAGTGTCCAGACAGCTTACGCGTACTTCAACTAATCTCTAAAACCTTAAACTATCGATTGATAAAAGCTCTAGATCACCCCTATTAACCCTCAATGACAGACCAACTAGAACCTCTTATAATACACTAAAGAGTCTTTATCAAACCATTAACTACCCAAAGGTAGTTTAGAATTTGATTTTATCAATAACCAATCACACAAATCAATTTCCAAATCTACGTATGCTTTGGAAATTTGATATGGTCACCTATGCTTTATATTATATATGAAAGAGAAAATCTATCTGACAATATTTCTGGTGAAAGTTTGGCAATTTAGTCATTGTCCAGTATAAGCCATTACTAGATAAATTTCACTGGAACCAGAACAGTTCATTTATAAGAGAGATATATAAATATTATGAAACTATATGTTTGGATCTTAAATTTTGTATAGTTATTTTTGGTCCCACAAAAAATTTGTAGAATTACATTAAAGAGGGATACAGTGAAACTTTAAAAATAAGGGAGTCAAAATATACTTTTAAAAATAAGGAGTCAATTCACTTTTAGGTGATGAAATTGAAATTTTTATTGCAAAATTTCAAAACGTCCATCAAGGCCTGTGCTCCACCTTCTCAATCTCCGTCAATGAAATTTGTGATCTAACAGGAGTAAAGCGACAAAACGACTATAATACCCTTTACGGTTTAACTTTGTAACTTTTAAAGAGGTCGAATTACAATTTCCCACCAAAAAAATTAAATGTATTTTCACCCAGTTTGTAAATTTAATTTTGGGTTAATAAATTAAAAAAATTTAGAAAAAAAAAAAAATAAAAGTCAATTATCAAATTAAAAATCCTAAAAAAAAAAATTCAGTTGGCCGAAATTATTGAATATTTTTTCACATTCTTATTTTTTTGAATCTTTTTGTTTTCTTTTTTACAATTTTTCAGTTTTTTTTTTCTTTTTCAGAAATTATTTTTATAAAATTTATAATTTACAGATATTATTATAATAAAAAGTTTTTTTTTTTTTTTTTTTTTTTTTATAGAAACATATATACTTTAGTGAATCCTCCATTTTTTTAATTTACTTATATTTTATTAAAATGAAGTTTTTTGCTTTTTTTATAGAAACAAATACTTTTAACTGAAACCTCCGTTTTAGGTACAATTGAAGATAGGGTGTTGAGTGGACTGTTTCCCAAATTGGTGAAAACAATGCGTATGTGTATTTTAGGGGTGTAAGTGACATTACCATATAATATATATTGTGCCAAAAGAATACCCTTTCCCCGTTAAAACTAACGCCTAAATTTTAAGGATGGATGGAAAGACGATTTTATTTTTTAAAAAAAAAAAAGGTAAGGGAAAATGTACATTCACCAAACTTTTAATGGAAAAATGTGATTCAGCCTTAGTTTGGGATTTTTAAGTTATCGTTAACAAAAATAATTTTTTTAATACATGTGCCTTTCAAAATATACATACGGTAAATTATACATATTAAATATGATAAAAGACAGTTGGAAATAGGTATACCTAACAGTAGGGGCAGACTGAGCCCTGAGCCTACCCTCACATTTAAAAAAAAAATAAAAATTGTTTATATAGGCCCACCAAAAAATCAGTATAAAAGTATATATCCAAACCTACCTTTAGATTTAAAAAAAATAAGAATTATTATACATATATCCAGATCCACAAAAAACTTTCTATTAATATATATATTACAGAGTACAGACCCACATCATATTAAAAGTTTAAAACTCTCTCTGCTCTTCTCCACGACTCCACCTATTTTTTATGATTTTATCCACAAAATTCCGTACTCTCTCATTCTCTTTCTCATGTTATTTGTTCTTAAAACTTTTGAAGACTGAAATTGTTGAAGCTTTAACTACTTAAGGTGCCACAATTAGCTCAGTTTTTTGTTTTATCAGTTTTAGGTATGTGTATCGCCCATTTTAATTTAGTTTATATTTTGGAGGTTTTTTATTCTAATTTGATGGAAAAAGCATGCATCTTGTGAGTTTGTTTTGTGTTTTGTTTCTAAGAATGTTCATGCTTTCCTAAATTAAACCTTAACTATATTTTACTGGATGTTATTTTTCACTTTTCACCCACCACTTTCCTATATTTTCGTTTAGTTGCTCGAAATTATTAAGGAAATTTGAATTATTATCTATGTTTATACCAAAAAAATTCTCTTTTTTTTTTTATTAATTCATATTAAAAGTCAACGCAACGTTCGCTTGATTTAAGTTTTGGTTGACTTTAGCTTAAGTTAGGTTTGATCAAAATCACGAAAATTTATATTATAATCTTTGGAAGCAAAAAAAAAAAAAAAAAAAAAATGTAAAAGGAGAAATAAGAAATTTGTGTGGAAATAAGAAATTTGTGTGGAATTTTTTTTATTGTAATTGCTGTAAACTCTTTTGATTATATTAGATTTAAATGGATCGCTAGATTTCTGTAGTTTTTTGCTCTCTTCACATTAAAGAGGGTTTTTCACGTAAAAAATTTCTTATGTTTCCTTGTGAATTGAATGTTATTGTCAACACATTTGTTCAAGATTTTGCTTCTCATATATTTATTCAAGTAAGAAAATATTATATTATTGCATTATTTCCTTTCAGGTTTTTCATATTGTATTATTTCAGTTGTTTAAAGTTTGGTTATTTTTTAAAATTTTTCACTAATTGTTTGGCAAACAATAACAGAGCCACAGAGACCCTCCCTCGACAAAAATTCTGGGTCTGCCACTACCTAAC